TATATTGTCTGCTGAAGGAGTAATATGATTACTAGCACTTTGTCTTACACTTCAGTACAGTCTTGGACCCTCTGTCCAGTCTATTTTTCAGTGCTATTATTAAGAAAATGGTAAATAAGAACCAGTTATTTTTCTTCTAATCACCAGCAAATACTGCTTTCTGAGTTTAGCTTCTAGCTAACTTGGTTTATGTAAGGAATGAAACATCCTCTTGTAACTTGGGCTTTCCAAGGCGATCAGCAAACTATCAGAAACACGATTCAGGAATTGCATCTTTCTGGCAAAAGTACTTTTTAGTAGGATGATTACATGACCGTCTCAGTTTTCAGTGTTCATCAGATCTGTTAACATATTACTATTACAGGAATAGTAATTTTCCCTCATTGGCAGTGCCATTTTGAGGAACAGTTATTTCTGAACACTTCAGCCACTTGAATAGCAGAACTGCTACATAAACACAGTTTCTATTAAATTGGTGGAAGCACTTTCTAAAAACTAACTTTTACTTCCTTATCTTACAGTCTCTGTGGGAAAGCTTAGACTTTGTCTCACAGTTCAGAGGGAAATGCTCAGAGTTATATTCCTTTGCATAAGACCTTCTACATAAAAGAAGTAGCGTGCCAAATATTCATCTTCATCACTTTTCCCACTAAAAAAAATGAAATCTGTAAGTAACAGAGCAACAAAGAGGAAAATAACTTTTATGAAAGGCATCCTTCTATAGAGTAATGGATAAATGGAGTGGGACAAATTTTTTTTCCAAGGCAGTTCCAATAAAGTCGGATGATTTACAGCAGGAATGAATTTGGTTCACTGTCTTCCATGCACTGATGAATTCTTTCAATGGGAGCTCCTCTTAGCAACTGTAACCACAGTCTGATGGCAGAGAATTGAGTCCATGATAAACTTACTATAGAATATAGTGGAAATGAAGTATTATACCTCTCCATACTAGCCTGTTATTATGGAGGTGCTTATCTGAAATTATCATGATGAGGCAGAGAGTTGGGGGAAAAAAAAAAAAAAAAGCCAATCTCATTTTTGGAAATGGAGAAGAAATCAATGAGGTAGTGCTTTTCATTTCTATTTCCATTAAGAGGCATCTGACCTTACTTGCCAGATCTTTAAAAGAGAGACTCTTAAGAAAGAGCATATTCACTATACAATGTGAAAACACATTATTGTATAATGATGTCAGTTTGTAATAATTAAAAAAAGAATGGCAATTACAATCCATTCTGAGAAAATACTTTCAACTTTTTAATCACTCATTTCTTGTGGGAAAACTAAAAAATCCCAATCCTGTCTTTTGAAGAGTGTTATTGATCACTGAAATTTATACAGGAAAAAAAAAAGCTATAGCAACCACATCCTGTCTTTGTCTTCCTATACCATTCAGCTTTGGATTTTTTTTCCTTTATTTTGGTTTAAAGCTCTTTCTGTGTTTCTTCTTTTGTCAATCTTAACATGCTTACTTAGGATTTTTCCCCCAATGCTATAGACTGTCACAACATCCTTATTAATGTCCCACTGTGCTGAACAGCTTTGTGACCAAGTAAGGAGTGGGATACCAAGAAAATACAGTGTCTCTGTAGTAATAAATATTGGATTCCTAAAGGAACTCAAATACTTATTTGAAGAAATTAGCAAGGAAAGAACCACTGTGGGTGTGTGTGGGGGGTGTGTGTGAAAGCATACAATAAGAAAATAATCCAAATGTTTAAAAAATTGTTTGGCCTTTCAAAGGAATTCTTCAGTGAAAGAGATGAAAAAGAGGGATTATCTTCCCACCACTATTAGTTAGCTTTTCAGCTTAGTATATTAATTATTCAGGCTCCATAAAATCCTGATCAAGAGAAGGAAACAAAAAACCAAAACACCACAGCTTTACTGAGTATAGAAAGCTTGAGGAAACTGGACAACTTGTTCACGCACCTGATGACACAACTTAAGCATTCCCTCTGAAATGACAAAAATTCAAAACAGGTTCATTCACCCATTTCAGCAAATGCTCATATGATACAGTGATGGGCATATTAAAGAATCAAACAGCAAAGCATTTTTCATGAATACCAAGTACTTTGAAAAAAAAATAAAATTCAATTGTCAAGGAGCAAAGCTAGTTAAGATCAGAATGGATCTTTCTCCAGGATGATGGTTACTTGGCACACAGCTTCATGCCTAAACCATATAAATGTGTGTGTGCATAACAAGGTATGTGAATATGCAAAGGTGGGAAGATTTGATGTGGCTGTCTCAGTCACAGCCTTCTCCCATACTGGTTTATATCTTAACTGGGAAAATACTGTTGTGACTTCCTTCAGCTGTGCTGGCCACTCAGCTTTTGCAATCCTGTCACACACTTTCTGGTGTGAAATACAGGCCTCCTGTGATATCCAGCTTATAAAAATGGTCTGCAGAGGTCTAGGAAACCCTCATACATTCTCTTCAACAAAGCAGGAGAGGAACACGCTGAGCAGCTCTTAGATTTAAGTATCACCCAAAGGGTGCATAGATCATGAGTGTATAATGCAGGATGGCTGAATAATGGAGGATGTTACTCCTTTAAGGAACAATATCATTATTCTGGAATTTTCTCATGTATGGAGCTTTGCCAGGGTTGTGCATGTCAATTCTCCATTTAGCAGCTCAGGTAGGTCAGCATTTGCCTGCTTTCAGAGCTCAATATATGACCAATCATTTTGTTACAGATTAACTTAACACTTTGAACCAAAAGAAAACCAAAAACTTTTTCGTATTACCCAGCAATTTGCTGAAACTTGGTCTTGTTAAAAAAACAAACTCTTTGTGGAAACATCATAATTGCTTGTCCGTTTTTAACTTTTGGCATGTTTGTCACAAAAAAATGGAAAGGATGTTGAGAGATTTCCAGATACTGTTCAGCATGGCAGATGTAAGGGAAATTATAAGACAACTATAATTTTTTTCTTCCTTTCCTTTCTACCCATACTAAAGTTTCATCATTGATGTTTCACATTAGTGTAACATGTTTCTGTTTTGTAAAAGAAAGGGTTTAAACCAATGACTATCAAACTACACTCACTGCCAAGTAATCTGCTGTTGATTTATCTGGGTTGTGGCTCATACAAGAACCAGACAAGGTCTAGTAAGATCAAGGTTAAGGTAAAGCAAACAAGTACTGCTGAAGCTTAGCAGACTCTTCTTGAAGCATTTGGTCACTTTGCTACAGTGGTGTCCTTTACAATCCATGGTTTTGCAATCTCCCTTTCCCATTAGCTCAGATGGTCTGTCCAGTCAACTTTTCAGTATTTCATCAAGCCAACACACGTTAGTTCTCCATCCAGTTTCCCATTTGGCAAGCTGCTTTTCATCGTTTTTATGCCAGTGTTGATATTCCATAGTCATTAAATGATTTGGTTAAAAAAGAAAGAAAAAAAAGAGGAAAAAAAGGGAAAAAAAGAGGAGAAACAGCCTTACTACCAGCACTGCTAAATGAAGAGCACAGCATTATGCCATGCATACACTGTCGATAGTGGATGACTTTACAAACATAACTCCAGATAATAGATAAGATGAAACTGAACTGCCCTAATGTGATGCTTGCAAAGCTTAGAGCAGGGACTCCTGACAGCTCAGCCACCAAAACTGTGACTACAGGGGATTGCTGGGGATCCACGAAGGAAAGAACAATAGCTCTTCTTCACTACCCATGACTAAACAATCCTAAAAGGCAACTAAGAAAACCAGCTGGCTGTGGAAATTCACCAGGGTGGTTTTACCTACTATATGGAAGTGGCAGCACAAGGTGAGGTTGTGGGAACTGCGTGCAGTTCGTGCGGGTTTGCTCGGCAGCAGATCGCTTCTCCAGCCGGTAAATGTCAAGCACCTGCTCTATAAATTATTTCTCAATGTCTAAACAGAATTTCAGAGATATCCCCATCATTACATATGGATTTAGTGCTCAGCTTGTTCTAGTATGATTTAGGAACACCAGTTTTAGCCACTCACCTCCTTCTGCAGATAACTAGAGTGAAGAAAAGAAAGACCAAGTTTCATGCAGAAAGAAACTGCTTGAAGGTCTTTAAAATAAATGATTTTCTGTGTTTTCAGTCTTTGAAGCAAAGGAGATTGCAAGCCTATTTTGTAAAAATGTACAGCAAAATCCTTGCCCTGTTATCAGCTGCAATACCTTAGAATATTTTTTTTTTTTGCTTACATGGAACTTTGTACTTAAAGATAAAAAAATATTTATTTTAATCTTAGAAACCAAAAGATAGTGTATCTAAAAGAAGAGGAAAACATTTAAATTTTCTTAAGAGAAAAAAAAATAATAGGCTAAAGGGGAGCAGAAAAGCAAAAGAAATAAAATTGCATGAGTACAAAACTTATTTTGTAGTGCATCAGCAAACTGTTCCTTGCTAGTTCTTGCACCCATTGAAAACCATGGAAAGAGTGGCCCTGCTAATGATGGTAATGGACCCAAAGGAACATTACAGCTAATTCAACTTCTATTAGAACACACTCCGAACTATAGAAAAATGTGGTTTGTGTATCCAAGAAAAATAACACAATACTCTTCTCAGCATTTGATGGTGTCTCTAAATTTCACTAATCTCGCAATATGAGTGATATATACATGCCATATCATGTATTTTCAATCTGCATTAGAGGAAGATTTTTAAGGAACATAATTTTCGTAAAGTAAACATCAAACATAAAAGAATAAAATAGTAATTAATAATATATTAAATTGAGATGCTAGATAAAAAATACCTTTGACATTATTTTGAAAAAAACTTAAGAATTTTTCATCAACATCAATAAAAGAGGTGAAAAATTGGCAGACAAATGGATTTTAAATGACTCCATGCTCTCAAATACCAATCTTTCTACTCTTTCACAAAAGCTTAGATTAAAAGAAAGAAATGGGACTAAGTGTCTATTGATTTGAATTATTTTGGAGCAAGGGAGAAAAACAGATTCCATCCACGAAATTCCCATTCAGTGAAAGGCCAGTAACCTGTTGTCTTCTTTAATGATGAGCTGCAGCTTCAGCTTTTGTGACCAGAGCACTAATGAAGAAAGAAATGAGGCCATCTCTGAAACAAATAAGTCTCAAATCATTGAGGCCCAAAACATTAAAGAATAAAATGCTGTAAGGAAACAAACATACAACCAGGGAAAATTTTTGAACTCTGCCATCATAAACTTTTCGAAAATACACTAGCAAAGTATAGTATTTGTTCAAAACACACATTTTATTTCCAGGTGTGATTTTAGAGCCATAGAAAAGGAGGGAGATTTTAGGAGCTCTCAGTATTACCTGAAGAACAAGGGTCAGAAAGCAAAACTCACACTGTGTCAACTGTTGGAGATTTGTCTATCTAAATAAAAGTTAAGAAAATAAAAATTGCAGCATCTTCTACCTCTGTAAACAAGCTGGTTGGTACAGCTGTACAATTTGCAAAATATGGAGACCTGTTTCAGCAGCTTTAAACACATGGATAAAAAAGAAAGTTAAGACTAAACTGGCAATTAAAATTGATGCCATTTGTACACTGAAAATGTTTGAGTTCTTCCCTAGTCCCCTCCATGTTCCTGATTCCACACAGCTGTATTCTAATCCTATATTGTTATTGATTGATTATATTATTTTTCTTTTCCCCCTAGACAGTTTTAAAATATACACATCTTGATAGCTTAGATGCTTAATTTGGAAATTGATGCAGGAGACTCTTAGCCCCTCTCCAATTATATCTTCTGAAAGAGACTCTCTGGAGATTTTCAATAAAATGTTCTTTCATTATCACTCAAATTACATCTTCACGTTTATTGACAATAATCCTGAAGAGGGTGAGTTTCTGCTATAAATCAACTTTCACCATCAGGAGTAAGGATTTCATGAAAACCTGCATTAAAAAGGTACTGCAGAAAGTATAGGATTTTATTTCTGCAGAAGGCTATTGAGTAAATGGCTATTATATTGTACAAATCACTGTTATAATATTGGGAAAAAATAGCCTCATTTACCATGAAACAGCATTCAAAAGCTGAAATGATAACCTTGTAGATTTAATGGTGTGTTATTAGCTAAACATCGATTCAGAAATTCATTTAGGGAATAAAAAAACAAACAGACAAAAAAATAAGCCTGATTGTGAGCTGGATTTCAGCAGATATTTCTAGTGTTTGCTGTGATGGATGAGTATTCAGGGATTTACATTGCTTCAGTGATAATATCCTGTTCAGCCTGGACACCTGGGGAAAGAGACACATAGAGACAAATATATTTACTTTTCTTTTTTCTCCAATGAACTTCTGATTTTCACTACCTACCCAGAATACTTTTAGGATGTGGTTGGCAAGCTTCCACAACTTGCCAGAGTAACTTGAATTCTTGAAATCAAATATTAACATTTTAGCTCAAATTTTGGAGACTTTTTAGTTTTCACTTGGCATTTAAGTAAAAACATTTAGCATAAGTAATTGGCAATTTAGAAGATAGTTTTTTCAAAAACAACAACAAACCATACTAATAATAAAAAAAATAATATAAAACCCAAAATATCTTAGCTAGGTAGGAAAGAAGTTGATTTCATATCTTGAAATCAAATTTGGCTAAATTTTCTATAAGCAATCTGAAAAATCCAAAGATTTTATCTGGCCCAGAGCAAACTGGAAAATAGAAATTTTTTTTTTTCAACTAAAGACTATTTTTTCTTCTACATTTTTACTCCTCAGACATCACATTAGAAATTCACACAACTCTCACTGTAGTGTCACTTTTTTACACAGGTTAATTCCACATTGCTGAAACAATACAAGCTGGAGAAGAACTGGTCTTGAATTCAATATAAAATTATCATTACTTATTATTATATAAAATAGCCCTGTTCTTTATTTTGTCTAAGGAAAAGATTTTTACTACAGTGAGAATTACAAAGAAGATAGATACAGGTCTGTTCATGCCTCGTACCTAATATTTCCTAACACAAAAAAGGCTTCTGCCCCAGCTCCCAGGGAAGACCCTGCATTGTCTTTCAGAGTTATTGTTGTTGATCAGACACTTGTAGCCTGGTGATAAGCAAAGTGACCCAGTCTCAACCCAACCCAGCTCTCTGGCTCCTTTTCCCCCATTCCTTCTATTTTTTTCTGATTAATCATCACTCCTGTAAATTGCAATTTGAACAACAACTCACGGGGTTGTGTCATTTTACAGGATAGCCAGCACCAAAAAAATTTCTGCAGGTGACAGGGACCATCTGGCTCCAGCTCCAGCCCCTTCAGAAAGGTGCAGACTTCACAGTCCTGCTGCTGCTGTTTCATCTGGCCTTTTGCATGTGCTGAGGAACAGCTGCTGAAGGAGAAGAGGAAAGACAGAAGGAACAGATAATACTGAGCAGCTCCCAGGGAATAAGTGTGAAAGTCCAAGAATGTATTTCTCCCAGAAGGTGGTGCAATATGAAACATGACTAGCTTATCATGTGTGAGAATTAAACAGGTATCAATCCCACGAGCTTGTGTTTAAGTCTTTTAGTGATTTCAGCAGATACTTTGCATGAACAAAGAAGTTAATACTGTATGGGAAACTGTTGTGACCACAACTGTTGTACCTCCAAGGTACTGGTGCCTGGCAACTGGTGGCCAGTTGTGTTCTCAATGGTCCCTTGGGGATTTTATTTCTACTTTTATTTCTACTTGTTTTACAAAAAGATGTTTAGCTCTAAATTCACCTAGTCATCTTTTTGTTTTCGTGACTGACATGCCTTTCTCTCAACTCTCTATAAAAAATAATGAAGAATATCCTCTGATTTTACTGTGCAGCTCACAGGGGGAGTTTGCTATCAGCAAAAGTATTGCACTGTATTTTAAGTACTTTTCCTGTTGTAAAAATGAGTTGCATACACCCAGGAATATCAGGAGTCAGAAAGAAAATTAAACAGCAACCACATCCACTTTAAGAATAATTTGAGCTTTCAGGGCAGTCTCACTAGACCCTACTGCTCAAATCCAGAATTCCAAATTCATGAGACTGGAAACACAAGATTAGAAAATTGCAACTTCTTTTTACTCTCAGGCCCAGTAATAAGCAGACAATAGCTGGGCACAGGATGAGTGACACCTATGCTAGTTCACAAAATACAGATGTATCCTAAACTCTTCATAATTTCCTGAGGTTTACCTTTATTCAACTGTCTGGAATATTTTTTAAATATGCACAAGTGTCTTAAAGATGCCCCTCTCTTTCCTCTTAGCTAGCTTTCCTCCAACAATATTTTATGATATTATCAACCTGATTTACAGTGAGTTTCACTGTCTTTTATTCTTGTCACTCTCAGTGGCACATGGATGCCTAAATTTAAAAAAGAGAGAGAGGGAAGGAGGGAGGGAGAATTTATGTTAAACAGGGAGGTAGGTGTTCACTCCTTGTTATGAAAAGTTTTCTTCTCTATTCACCACTATTTGGCCAGGACAGCTGTTGTTCAGACTTCAAATCCTAGCCCTCTACTCTGCTAGAATAAAAGCTGTAGAGGATGTACCTTACTGAGCCCACCTGGACTGTTCAAGACAAGGTTTCTCAAGACAAAGCCCAGAAAATCCATAGCCTAAATAGGAGGTAGTGCAACATATTTTTCCTCTCCCTGAACACATGAAGATGAACTAAAAGGAGGAGAAGTAATATTGGGTGAGCTCTCTCATCTCACAAACATATATGCAGAAAATATGGAATTGGCTTCAGGTACCATCTGATCACATTTGCACAGTCCAGCAAGGCTACGAGGTTCCACAGCTATGAAGAATATCTGGCCCCAGAAGGCAGAGCACTCCTAAAAACTAAAATCACTTTATGTTGCATAAAATAAGTCAATGAATAGGCTAAAGGAAATAAAACTCATCAGCAGGAAGATGGGGTGAAACATTGTTGGGAGAATTTGAAGACCAGGAAGTATCCAGGGGAGGAATCAATCCTCATGGGAAACAGTAACTGTTCCTATGCAATGCTGCTTTTCATTTACAGTTGTTGAATATTCAGTATTGAATACTGATTGATCCTATTCTTTCATCTCCCCTCCTTAAAAAATATGCTTAAATCAGGTTTGCAAGGGCAGATATTCCTGTGTGTGAGGAAACCAGGGGTTGGGATGCTCCCAGTGCAGCAGAACCTTGTCTTTCCCTGGCCTTTCTTAAAGAAGAATGATTGGAGTGTCTCAGCATGTTATAACATGTGTGTCCAAGAGACAAAGCTCACAAAGTGGCTATAAATTGCCTCTTGTGGATGGCCTAAAAAATCTGGGGTTCCTACAGTCTTCTTTACAGAGAACAGTTCTCAGCTGTGCCAGATGTCAAAAGGATCAGTCCTTAGCACACAGTCTTTAACTCTCCATTCTTATTCCAAACCAATTTCTAGCATAAAATCAGCTAACAGTAAATAAATCCTAAGATGCATGCTAGTAAAGAAATTATAATCAATTTATTTGTCTTTAAAACACTTTACTGAGGAAGAGAAAATGAGATGAAGGAGAGTAACATTGGAGCAGCAAGATAATAAGCTTTAGACACCTGTTATTGTTGACATAATGGGATGATGTGGTAATTACATTAGTTCAAATACATGATACCTGAGTAGTGAAAGCATAATCTGACCTCTCAGGTTGAGCTACACAAATGTCACTTGACCCCTTTTCCCATGCATTTCCATGCCCCTGGATATATGCTAGAAAGAACCAAAGAGAAACTGAGTTGTGCTGTGGCACAGTTTCTTAATCAGATGTCATTTCCTCACAGAACCAGGCTGGGAAAGACATACAGCTGATAAAATAACTAGATTTTCAGCACATTATCCACTACAGATTTGAAACTGGATGTTAAAAGCACTCTGAGCTGATGAAATTATCACATTTTGCTAGTTTGTATCTTGATTACCTGGGTATTAAAAATCGTTTTACTAAACTTGGAGAAGAAATAAAAACAAAACAAAACAGACTGTTTCATGTGCAGAAACCAAATAAAGGGCCTGAGGTAGCGGAGAATGCAGTCACGTTATCACAATCATTTATTGAATGTGATTCACGAAGTATATAAAGAATACATCAAAAATAGGTAAAGCAGGGGACTGTGGGTCTAAAAGTATTTCATTAGATTGTGCTTAATGCACTGGTTGCAACCTGCCTTTTTATAATGCTGTAAAATATTTCAATCTATTTTAAGAGCATCATTAATAAAACACCTATATGAATTCAACTGGAAAATTCTGAAATACTCAGGGTTATAGTGTATGGTTCCTAGAAACTGTAATTTTAAAAGGCTTTGCATAAATTGAGCAGAACAGAGAGGTTATTGGACTACTGTGACTGTGACTAAGTAAAGCACTCTTATTTTATGTCTGCATTTAAGGGTGATTTTCATTTCATGTCCAATCTTAAGAACATATTAAATGCTATGGTATATGTATATATGCTATTGTTTAGCTCATTTTTCTATAACTTACTTGTTTTGTAGCCTTGTGTGTTAGTAGAAGCAAACATATATTTAGATTAAGTCTGAATAGGCTAGATTGGCTGTGTGAGGCTAGAAATAACACACAGGGTTGCTAAGCCAATCAGAAAGAGACTGATCAATAATGATATATTGATCAATTTTCATTCTGCTGCAACAACATCAGATTGAGTGATTATATCTACATCAACCATTTAGTATAACAGAAACAAAGTAGTAGTAAAAGGGCATAATTACAGAATCAATTTCTTCCTATTTTGAAGCCAGTTTTCTCAGTAAACGCTGCACTTTCCTAAAGCAAATTTCAAGATTAACATTCCAGGCTGTTTCATACATAGTTAAAAGTTTTGACAGCATTAAAATATAGCTTCCCAAAGGTTTCCTTTAAAATACATTTTTCATATACTTTCCACAGAAGGAACTGAATGAAATTCTCTCACCTTTCAAACAGGAGGATGTAAAGTAGTCATATACAAAGTCATTCTTCAGCTGAGGATGCTGAATACTGCTACTGTTTTTCATTCCTTTCTCACTTCTTGTTTCAGGCTTTTCTAAGCTGATATTAGGTTTTCCTGCTATTTGGAAAACTAAGAAAAGATTAGAATTAAAAACAAACAAACAAACAACAACAAAAAAACCCACAAAAAACCCCAAGCTAACACCCACCCCAGCTTTTTTTTTTTTCCTAGTGTGTTATAAACTATATTAATTAAAATTCATTGGTGGCTATGTTAAGATTTACTACTAACTCTTCAGTTTGGATCTGTGTTGGTAAACTAGTGACCAGAATTATTAGACACTACTATGTCTTCATTGTCCCCATATTTTTTATGCAACTGTTCCTTTCCTCTTCTTTCCTTTTTTATTGTTTTTTTGACTTTTCTCCTGTGTATATCAATTAAAAGCATCCATATTACCAACAAGGGAAATATTTTCTTTTCAAAGTCAGGGGCTGCATGGAAGAGAGTGACTGCACTGATAGTTAGCAGAGCAGTCATTAAAAGGTCATCAGACAAGGGAATGACTAGTCATGCTTTGTTTAATTCAGACTAAAATTGTCAAATTATATTCTTATTTGAATATTCTTAGTCTGTTGCTTTATGCATCTACCTAATGCAATCTTTCTGAGCCGTTTTAATGGCACAGCCACTCTATTGCCAATAAAAATTATAATACAGCTGAGGAATGTTAAATATGGAGGATGAATTTCAGAGGTAAAGACATGAGAGTGACTAGTCAAGGATATTTCTAGAGAATAATCCATTTTCCTTTCTTCTCAACAGCTTAGTTCAATTTACTTAAAAATCAGAAAAGGTTACTAAGCCTGAAGACCAGACTCCAGCAATAGAAATGCTTCAGTCATGAAGATGGTACCCAGCCTGCAAATAAAGCATAATTAAGGACTTGGGATTAAGCAGAATACAGTCACAAGGCTTCCTTAATTTTCAAAAAATATTAAGTGTATCACGGATGGTATATTATTATTTGGTGATGGCTGATAGTTATGATCCTTTATATTGCCTACTAAAATGGATTAATTTTTACTCCCATGTACAAAACAATTTAAAGCGGTGACAGGTATCGCTTGCCTTTTGGAAGTGCTCCCCAGGCAACTGAGACCAAGATATTTTACAGACAAAAAGTTTTTTGCAAAGAAAGCAGAATGAAAAACTAGAAAACCACTCAGTAGCTGCAGTGCTCTTGTGCCATAGTGTACTTTTATGTCCTGGTCCCAGCCTGTGCTACCCCAACCAGCAACATTTTGTGGATTTGCTTCTGAAAAAAACAAACATGCTGTCATTCTTATTCTCCACAATTTAATATTCTTCACTTTTGCCCCAATTTTAGAATTTGTTATGAGCTGGCTGACTTCACTGCAGTCTGTCTGAATGCAGCAATCCAGCCATATGCAGAGCATTGCAGAACTGGAAAAGAACTAACAAAGAATGGTAAAACACAGTGTAAAATAAAATGTGAAAGTCAACGTCTGTGCAACAGAATAATTGCTCTCCACGTGTATGGACTAGAATTCAGCTATACCTGCTGAATACTAATACAGTGTGGGGGACATTATGCTTGTTTGATTTCTTTGGCAGTGTATGCAGAACTCAATGAATTGCTAAGCAAAAAATACAGATTGAACTTGTGGATCATACACATTCTTATTATAAATTAATTTTACTGCTTTTCTTCTAAAAACATCATCATGAATCTGGGTCCTGCCAAAACTTTTGTAGAAGCAAGTGCTTTTATTTAATCCTGTGTTTCACAAATGCCCCTAAACACCTTTCTCTCTTCATTTTTATTCCAATCTGTACACGTTCCTATGACAAAAAACTACCATCTTCCTGTTTATACTTCTGGGTTGTTTTTTTTTAGTTTTTTTCACAGTGTACAATTTCCCTAAAACATTGCAACCTTTTGTGGCCTCTGTCAGGTGGTGGGAGAGATGGACAAAACATTTCTTTTGCAGTTGGTTTTGATTGTGGAGTAGTCTCTCAATCCTGTTGCACATAAGTCTTTAAGAGATGACAGCATTTTTATTCTCAGCAAGGCAACTTTATTGCCAACACACCCTGTGCCCAAGTTGTAATGGAAGAATAATCCAGGACATTTTTTTGCACTGTTCCTTTAACATCCTCCTACTTAAGCATGGGAGATTAGCTAACACTGACTTCTGGTTCTTCTTTCTGGGATGAGCAAATAAAAGTCCCTGCTGTTGTCACTTCATCTCCTCCTCCCATGATGGATCAATACTTCTCTGCCAGCCTGTCAGGGGAGGACAGCAGCAATCTGGACTTATATTATAGAGCTCTCAGGAGAGAGATGTTAAAAAAAAAAAAAAATCACAAAACATTACTGCATACAACTGCTTGTCATGCCAGCTGTTATTCAAAAAATATCAATCCACTTCACAACTTAAGACCCTGACAATAAAGAATTAAGAAAAATCTTTTAATGGAGGTAGATCACAGATTCTGTTCACAGTTTTGCAATGTTTCCAAAAACTGTGGTTTACATGTGCAAAATTTGCAGTGTTACAAAATGCCCTCAGGAAGTTCAAACTGAAATCAAAACCAGCTCCAAAATTTGCCTGGAAACCTCGCTGGACTTTAACTCCCTGCTCAACTAGAAATTATGAGAGTTTGAGCATGTCACATGAACGAGTAGCACTTTGCCTTTTCCCACAAGTATCCAAGGCACTTTTAGACTCCTTTCACAGCCTAGGCAGCCTTCTGCACTCAAAAAGTACCCTGAAGTACCAGCATTTTTGGACTCTGGGCACTAAGTAGCAGCGGGAAATTTGCCAGGAGCAAGTTACACACACACAGAAAAAAACATATCTAGAAACAAAAGATATCTAGAAAGTACAACCACCAGATTTAATGTCAGCCAAAACTGAGCACAGCACATCCACTAAGGTGCACTTACTGCAATACTCTATGTCCTAACCCACACTCTTAACCTCCACAGTAGGGTGGTCTGGCTGTCTTAGAAGCGAATCTTTCTTAGATTACGGATTGAAGATGTGCGGATTACACTTTTTGTCTGCAGACCCTAACTATAAACTACAGGTAGCAAAAGTAAAATGAAATAAATAAATTGTTTTCAAATGTAAATTGTTCCTTTAATTCTTGATGCACCTCCTCAATTTCCGTAAGTAAAGGGTCTGGCTCTGAGTTTTTAGCAACTACCACTATCAAGGAGTAATAAATATTAAACTCTTGTGGACAATCCTCCATCAAAAATATGTAGGTTCTCCTGTAACAAAGTAAGACTTTAAAAGTTAGGCAAAACACACAGAAAAGGGAAATTAGGTAAATTTAATTTACTCCCAGCTGCAATTGATTCTTCATCTCAGGAAAATGGATTTGAAATATCAGAATTTTCATTAACAATATGTTTAAGCTCTTCAGGGTCCACATGTTGTCTCATGTAACAAAAGTTCACAGAGTTGCAAATTTTTTCATGCTGCCTTCCATAGCTGCATTTGTTAGGGTAAAAACTCATTAAAATTCCCTGCACATCTGATGGACAGCATGCAGACAGTATCAAAAGGAATAAATAAATCTATGAGAATTGAATAAGACCCGAGGAAGGAAAACGCTGATTCTGTAGTTGTAGAAAATTTATAAGTATCTCATATACAAATGTTTTCTATATTACTTAAAAAAAAAAACAAACTCACAAAGCCATAAAGACTGGTGCTCATATTTGCTGGTAAGTCAATCTTTCTTTCAGACATCAAGAGATGACCTCCTAAGACCCAAAGATTTATCAAGTCAGCAGTTTATTCCCTTAGGCCACCATCTTCAGCCTCTTCCTCTTCCAGTCACGTCTATTGAAGGACTTTGCAAACCCCCATGAGGAAATGGACTAATCTACTTCTTTCTAAAGGACAGGAATGATGCCTACACTGACTGCACTTTATGGGATGAGAAAGCTAATAAAGGGAAGGAGACTACATCTATTGGTGAAAGATTCAGTGTGATGTTTGTGTTATAAGAGACAGAGTTAGAGTGCAGTAGCTGTCAATCAGAAAAGGAGCACTGTTGCCCGGCAGCAGCAACCACTACTCAGAAATTTTCAAGAAAATTCACCCATCTTTTTACTTTGTGGGCACAAAACATCCCTGAATTGGAATAAAATATACCGGCTTTTAATCTTTCTCTTCTCTCTCTTTATCAGGTGATTCTTTAACAGGTAAAACACACATAATTTAAAGATGTGAAAAAATTTAATGGAACCCCCCAATTTTTTTTAAAAAATAACTTATTCATTTGTATTGTATAATAATCCATGAGCTTTTTTTTTTTCCTGTCTGCTTTAAAAAAAGTCACCTATTCAGTTCACACTGTTATTCGTAAATACTGTCACTGTAAAAATGAAAGGGCAACACAGGCACTACAATACTTCATCACTGTATATACAAAATAATTTCTCACATATTCAGATAACATGGCTAGGGAATTACATGAAAGTAAAAAGGAGACTGTTTCTTTTAGCCAATCACTAATTTCTAATAACTGGATCCAAACAAACTTTCTACCCATTAAATGAGTGAAATACTCTGTGCTATTCTTTTCAGGCAATTGTAAAGGTAGGTCTATTGGTGGTCTCAGCTTCATGTGGATGTCTCTCTTATAGGTGCTCACTTACCCTATTTTGCATCTGCCTTTTTTAAAAAAATACAAACAAAAATTATCTTTATTCCCCTTTCTTCATATTCCTCCACCATGAGATTTGTCTTCTTTAGTCATGGCAGAGAGCATCTAATTTTCAGGTTCAGAAGTGCTCCATTATCTACTCTGCTGGCTGCTACTGTGCTGAAAAAGTGTTACCATGGGGAAGGGTAGAGATCAACCTGCAGGGCTCTGATAAGCAATCCTTTATTTTAGAAAATTCTATGTACCCTGTCAGTTTAGGAATCTAAAGTTAAAATATATAAATCAAACCAATGGGAATTAAAAAAAAAAAAATTGCATCACCCAGTTCAGATTAATAAATAGAGGATCTTAAATATATAATATTAACAATAAATAATTATCTGCCTCGTTCTCTGTTGCCAAGTTTAGAAAGAAGATATGACTATATAAGACAGTTTAAATTTAGGAGTTCTTGGCTGTGCTGTAGGGAAGTTGGAGGGAGAGCAGATTCCCTACTGCCAAGGATGGACAAATTAATTGCATCAATTGAAATAAAGTGGCAGTGATAGGCAAACACAACACAGAGACCATGTGGCAAGGGAATCATGGTTAAAGGGTGCAGCAATACTTTAATAACTGAATTATGTGTCATGACTCTTAATGGGACAAACTAGCAATGATGCTATGTGAATACCCACATTTTCTTTCAGTTCTGGGATCTTCTACCTTTCATAGTCCCAGGTTGTCAGTAGAGACGCTTGGAAAGTTGTATGGAAGGAAGCAACCACTCCTGAAACTTTCCATGGATCCAGGACATTTTGAAAGTCTCAGTGTGTCCCATCAGTCAGTAGAGACTTCATGGACTTCACAGCAGCCTTTTGCATTTCCACAGCAATGCCAAAAGCACCAAGGACATCCATTTGAGGGATTCACAAGCAGTGACAGCACCTTAAACACCTTAAACTGACTGAACTCCTCTGCTTTTTTTAACAGTTTTGCTGTGAAATGCTTGGGTTCCTGTTTCTTTGAAAATTTTTTTTCAGAGAACCCAGTGAAGAACACATTCATGGCTTTCTACAGGGGGTTTGTCAATTAATGGCAAGCAGATTAAATTAGAATGGTCAAAATGAAGCCTTACCAGACTGCTAAAAGGAGTGTTGTAGCTTAAAGCAAAGAAGTAAAAATATCCTAGCAATATGAAAAGCATTCACACAGGCTATGTTCCAATTTCCCCACTGAAGTACTAGACAGAGCAGAAGATGCTTATAAATACACAACATGCATATTAAACCCATATGAACCATCTGTAAGTGCCCGATTTTAATTAGTTTGCTGGATACATAGAAAATCTGGAAATCTGCCAGAAGTGTTTGGGTCAGTCAAGCTAAAATTCAGAATTCGGTCACAGACACCTAAAACAGAGTTACTTGATTATAGGAATACAAAGTTTATTTGTAATGTTGCTTTGTATGCTGGGGAGGTTTTTAAGGAAATTACTGCATGCAAAGTTCGTTAAGTCGTAAATTCTGGTCTTGTTTGCTGTCTCAGAACCAGTACAAAATATATATTTTAGTTTAAACATCTGAGCAAAACATCTGTTACCTGTTGTTATAGTTTGGACCTTGAAATCTGCCTCCTTTTCAACAGATCCTCACTATGTGCTTTACAGTCTGCAAGTGTCTTAAAAGCACATAGCAGATGCTACTTAGTGTTGGACTGCATGACTTCCCATTGTCCAAGACAGCAAATCTCTCTTTAATTCATCACAGAACATAAGGATGCTTCCATAATCAAGCCTTTAACACAACTAAACCATCTAAAGAGACAGTCATGCCTTACAAATGCCTTACAAAAATCCTCTTTTCTCTGTTTTGTTCCATGAGAGCAGCAGTCGATAAAAGATCTGTTTCTTCAATCCTCCCACTAAATAACTCTCTCAAGCCCATTTCTGCATATCCACTATTGGCTATAATGAAATTGGCTGGATTAAAACTTTGAATATAATTTTGTCTGCATCACCCATGTAAGAAATGTGTTTACTCTGGTTTGCTGTCATCAGTGTTCTCAGTATAAGGCAGAATGAGAAGCTGAAATTATCATTAATAAAATTTTGCCACTGTACGGTGATTTTGCAAAGGAAACTAAAATGTATATTCAGTTAATGAAATCCCTGGGTTTCATTAGGAAATCCAGGAAGATATTTTAAGACTTACACTGGCCCAAAAAGGTTAAATAAACACTCCTGTAATCCCTTCCTGGCTTTTCAAAGGATTGGCAGCTACCAGCTGAGAGGTAAGAGGAAGCAACCTCCTAAACTGCATCTTAGCTGTAACTTCATCCTGTGTTCTGGTGTATTTATGTTAAAATCACTGTTTTCCAGGCTTATTTCTACTCTATACCTACCAAATCTAGTAAAATGAAATCTTGCTTTTATGGCGACAGAGAAACAGTTGAGAACAATAAAATCCTTCTGCAGCATCCCATAAATGTATGGAAATATAAAAAAATGACCCGGAAACCAGATCCCAAATCTTGCCTGGGAGCAGAGAGAGATCTGTTCTCACCAACCAGTGTCTTCTGAGGCATCACTCCAAATCCCACCAGTGTCTCACTATTGCCACAAAGTCCCTGCAAGGTCTCACTCCCTCCAGTGACTTCATCACACCCATGAAGAACAGAAATTTTAAATCCAGAGAAGTAGTACATTGCTCTGCAGAGAGCTCTGCCACTGACTTCAGTGTAGGAATTCTGTTTCAGCAGGGCCAGAGAAAAATAATACATGAAATAAAGCTACAACATCTTTTGCTTGATTTGCATTACGCTTCCCTAAGCACTTGACTAAAGGACTGAGTCTGGGAGTGATTTTGTTTAGTACAAAGACACACGTATTACACACTTACGAAAAAAAGATTACAAAAGATGAAAAAAAGTATGATAATCAGTCTGAATGCTGGAAATTGCTTTCAACCTCTTTTCTCTTTGCAAATTCTTCATGTAATTTAGAATGAAAATTAGTTCTGACTCTCTTAATATTAATATGTAGACATTCAAAGGCCTATAAGCCACTGATGAATTGTCAGCATTTCAGACATTAAATTCTTGTTGGCAGTTTCTGAACAGCTTTGTACATTGTATTTCAGCTAAAACTGGGCAAGATAATATGTCTAATATACCTATCACTAAGCTAAGCTAAGCTGATTTAGCACCAAACTTCAAATTTGAAGTTACTGTACTTCCTTCATCCATCTAAACTATTGTCTGACTGGGTGACTACTCCTCTCTTACTCTGTCCCAGTGTAAAATTAAATAAATAGGTTATCCTGCCATCTTAGGTAGGAGATAAAGGCACTGAAAAAAAACCCACAAAAGAGTGGCAACATGGAAATGTTGCTGTGCCTGATGCAACACTAGATAGTTTAAACCCCTGCACAAGAGAAGTCATGGGAGGGTGACTTCCAGCACCAGGAATCAGACACCAGCAGAAGGCAGCTGAAAGGATGGTTTCTGCAGCCAAAAACTCTGTGGAGAACTGCATGGGAATTTGGCTAATGTGTTTAAAGTGGCTCTGGGGCCAACTGGAGAGTCCTCATGCAGACACAAGTGCCACTTGCATGCAATGGTTAAGCAGATATTTTCTGAATTCTGCTTTGCTGGTTGCTTTTATCTCCTAAGTTTTTTTAAAATTAATTTTACTCCTGTAAATGCTGCATCTCTTTCCAAATGCCAGCCACTGCATCAAATGTAGTTCACTTCCCCCTCTCTCATACGCTTCCATTTTTTTCATACTGATTCCTCTTTTTCAGTGGCTTTCAGGTCTGGGCTTATTCCTATGGTTTTTGGGGATTACTGATCTTCTCCCTGCCAAAGAAAACATAAGCTCCTTTGTAGTTACATTTTCAACCTTATAGGCAGAAACTGTATTTTTTTCCATATTCATGTCCACATTGGAAGTGGGAGTTTCAGCTCTGCTTCATTCCTGACTGCAATCTCATAAAAGATGTTTCAGAAAGCTTCCACATTTGCATATCTGGAATTTCACATCTGTTGCAAGTCACTCTAAAGCCTCATAATTAACAATTCAGAGATCTGAGTTCTTGTGTGGAACAGATAACACAAAGTGGTTGCATTCCTTACAGGTATGCAGCAAACATCCAAAATTTTTCTGTTTTTCAACTGTAGCTTATCAGACAAATGCCTCAACATATCAGCACCAGGATGAAGAAAACCTGATTTCTATCCTACTTTATACCATTTCCACTTGCCTTTGTGACGATTTTCTTTGGGAGGGTTCCTTCCCCTCTTTCCCCTCAGTTTCCAATTATTGTGGAACTTTGCATTCTGGAGAGTTTGTCCTCTATTCTGCTGGTCTTTCCTCCATATTCTTCAGTATTTTCATGTATAAATCCACTGTTCCACCTGCTTTTGACAAAATAGTATAAAGGGATTCAACCAGAAAGTAGTTCATACCTTCTAAAGAGCAAGTTAGCTTTTCCTAGGTGGTGGATTAGACTCTGCCTAGGAAATGGGAGTGGCCTTACTGTCTTGGTTGAGGGCAAGCATTCAAGACAAATTATTCAGGTCAGGGTGGAACACAGCTGCACAGAAGCAGCTCTTGTATAAATTGGAAACACCCAAGAGAAGGTTTAGGAAGCAATTTCTTCCTGTTATTTGCTGTCTTTTAAGTGAGATGAATGTCCGGTTCTAAAAGCGTGGATTGAGTCAGCATAAGCGACTACACCAATGGAGGGCACACTCAGGTTGCTGGCAAGTGTATTTTTAGAAGAGCTAAAGAGTTAAAATTACTGCTCAGACACTGTCTTACACTATGGACAAAAATAAAGTGATTTTTTAACAGCTTCTAAGTGATTTAGGATTTAAAAAACATTGTCTTTTCACAAGATTTGCATTATTTGTGACTATAGTTTTGCAGGCATTCAGGTCCCCAGTCCCTAATAAAATGAAGAGATCATTTCAAGCTTTGAAAAATACATGATTTGAAACATGTTAAGTAGGTACTTATCACTAATTCTAGATTTGTTAATTCTTAATGAACATGTGTGTATATTTTCTGCAGAAATAAAGGACATAAGTAAAATAGATCTTTTCATGCAAACTACTATGGTCATGCCAATTAATCAATCAAATGCTAGTACAGTAAGAATTCCTGAAAAACCTGTGTTCTAAAAATACAGAGGACATTTTCTTATCTCTTTACTACCTGAAATTTGATTGTTTTGCTTTGAGAAGGAAGTTTATCAACATCTAAGTCTATGTTATAGCTGAGTGGAAATTGTTCTTTATGCTTTTCTAAGATACTCTCATATCAGTTTGTGTTAATTTTGGGTTCTGATATCCTATCGTGGGATCTTAGCCCTCTGACTAAAATAGCTTTTTCTGAAAGTTTTTTTCTTTAAATTGTAAACAGGAAGAAAATTCCTTCTATATCCAACCTTTCATTCTTATTCAGGTGGCTGACTGACTTTTTCTTCTTAAAACTAACAACCTTAATGATTTGATAAGAACAGTCAGAAATGCAAGGTCTTTAGGCATTTCTTACCATTTGCATTAGTTAACTGATAAAACATTAAGCTTCTCTTCAGGGTTCCAAAATGCCAATAAAGATGTCCTTTACCAAAAGGAGTACTGCTGAAATGGGATTCAGCTGGCATTCTGGTCAGAGAAGTTTTCCTTGGAGGCCTTTTCATTGCTTTAACACTAATCTGTGACAAAAAGGCCTTGTCAGATTCTTATTGCATTTAAGAAGCTTTTCGTGAGATTTGTATTGATTTGGAATAAGGCAACTGACAACATTGCAATAAATTTTTACTACTTAGTACTGATCAATATGGATTTTTTCAACCTTTCTCAAGAAAATTGCTTTCTATTGCTTCAGATATGGCCAAGCTGCTCCTAACTTAATTATATCTCATGCAACAGGTCATGCACTTTTTCTGGTTCTAGTTCCTGACATGAAACAATTTTTAACAATCTAGGGAAATTTTTGTGTCTGCACCAAAAAACCCTGAAACTCTGCTACCCTAAGAAGACTATGTGAGTATCTCATTAACTGTGCACCATGCACAGTCAGATGCTTTTGCTGTACAAAAAAACACCTAACATTTTTACCACTACAAAGTCAAAACTACAGCCTCTTGGAGGTTTTTCCTCTAACCCTGTTAGCAGCTAAAGGGCATGTGAGTGTGCTTTAGTTTGCTCAGCTGAGGATGCAACATCAGAGTTAACACTGCATTTTAACTCTGTCTGGAAGGTCCCAGCTGTGTGTAAGGACAGGCTCCATGCCTGTGGCATACAGTGATGTGGACACCTCTGCCCACACAGGTATCTGAGCCACAAAGTGGTATTGAATAATAGGCTGCCTCTGCATGAGACAGGTGCGGAGCTACGAGCACATGAATGAGAACTTCTGTGTTAAGGAGCTGATAGCCATCCTGTCCATGCTTCAAGGGGTTTAGGATCTGATATCCATACCATCCAAGCTTCAAGGGGTTTACTTTGGGCTGACTCTGATCTGGTCCCATGGAGTTTATATGTATTCGAGGATGACAACTTGCTTGCAGTGCATCCTTCAGCTTAGTCTCATCATGAAAGAGGGCTGTTTGTACTCACCAAAGTGTCAGTGCAAACCAAAGCCCAGACACTTGGAATGAGCAGGTTGTACCTTCCATAAGTATGCTTTTGATCCATATGAAAATGTTGCTGGTAGACACATATGTAGGCTAATAAACAGCTTATTTAGGCACCACTCAGGTGCTAATGGACCAAGGGAAGGAAGGAGGGATCTTGCATTATGGATGCTTAAGTTGGCTGTTAGTGCCTGAATATATGCAGCTCTGATAACACTGAGGTGTCAAAACCATATTATTTAATGATAGTGACCTGCAGGCTTCTTTCTACAAATGCTCCTAAATTGCACATGACTTCACTTTTCAGAGCACAGTGATTTCCAGGATATGCACCTCAAAATTCTAAAATCTTGAGAACAAAATGCAGATGTTCTGGCCTAGGATAGTGAGTGACCTCATCTATGCGTGTTCCTTGATGAGCCAGACGCCTCACACAACACTAATTTGAGCAAAATGATTCTCAATAGACATTTTTTTTTTCTTGAACTCTATTTAAAATGCAGTTAAGTTCTTTGGGGAGAAAATGGGATATAACAAATATGCAACCAAATTAGAAACCACTAGCCTTTGTAAAAAATTAATCCAGCACAGCAAAATAAATATAACTTCTTCTCCTCACGTGTGAAGAAAAAAATTAAAAAACCAAAACAAAACAAAGCAAAACAAAACGCTATCACAGAGCTTTGATATGCTCAGCAGGAATTGCCAATAGTCTCATTGACTCAAGAGGGAAATTTAGGCAGGTGAGTATTTGCAGAAAAATATAGGAAAACCCATTCACAGTCAGCATTTTAGCAGAACTCGTGATAAATGAATCAGTTAATGGAAAACACATTTTGATTTGCCCATCTTCAGTCACCTGTTACAATGCCTGAATAGACTGATTTTCAAGAGTAAAATTAGCTTCTTGCCTTGTCTCAGCATCAGAAAATATCTGATCAAAGAACTTGTGTAATACTGGAGTTAATAATGAAAATATACATAAAGTACCACACAGTACACCTTGTGACTTGTAGACATCTGTTTATCAATTCATATTTAGGGAAAAAAAAACCCATGAAATGCTATTTCTTCCTTTGGGAAACAGTATTTTGATTGAACACTTTCAATATCTCCCTTGCATGGGAAATATCTGTCAAACATTCCAATACTAATTATTAAAACTACAGTGACTTCAGTGACTGTGGTTGTGTCACTGTGTGGTTATCCATCTCTTTTCTGAACTATCCAGTTGCATCTAATATTATAATTTCAACTCAGATTGAAAGTGTACCCTCAAGTCACCCCTTCTCATCAGACAGATGTGAATGTTTGCTTTGGCATGGCTGTAACCTATCCAGTTGTGAAATAAATGGGTTATTTAAATTACTTCTGTCAGGTTTAAAGAATGACAGTGGCAGTTGGGGCATGTGTAGCTCAAGCTACAACTCAGTAGCTTTTGAAGTGTCTGCCACTTGTGAAGCAGTGGCAGAGTTCTCAGGCTGTCATGAGGACCTCTTCTCTTGTTTACCTTGCAAAATCTATGAAACTGAATTGAGAAATCAAACAAAAATTACTGCTTGAGATACAGTTTGTATATGTACTCTATTATAGTTCTATTTCACTGCAGTCAAATAATTGAATTCCTAAACAGAGTTTCATTTCAGTGGTATATGAGATTACAATTAAAATTGACTTTTGGGCAGTTCCTGGTGGAAAAACGAAGCTGTTACTAAAAATCAGAAAAGACACCCACATTATTTTCATTTCTCTAAGAAAATACGATGAATTCCTGAAAAAGTTTATGGTATTTCTCTTCACCCAAACATGCTATAATACATCTTGTAGGAGTACGTGCAACAGCTGGCATGTCACAGTTCACGTTGTTTTGATAAAAGGGGCTTTAGCTTCTACCAATATCTATCCAAACCTGAATCCATGTGCATAATAATGTACACAAAAGATTGTGCCAAATGAAATGTGCCTACTGGACTGAAAGCATTAGTCAGTAAATAGTGAGGACTGAATTCATTATGTTGCTACTGTGTTAGCTATGAATTAAATATGAAAGTTAGAAATAAAGAGAAAAAAAAAGAAAAGGAGGGAGGAGATGGGAAATAGAAGATGGTAAATGAGAGTAGCTGTTTTAATCTTCCCCAGTTTCTGACATTCCTGAATAAAATAGGCAGTTAAGCCAAGTTCATTACAGTGAGATGCTGTCCCTGAACACAGCCCTTTTGCCATTAAAGAAAAAAACCGGACTGCTGTTGCTGTAATCAGAAAAAAATGATGAAGGTAGAACTGCCCCAGCAACAGGGGATTTTTCCACATTATTCTGATTACTGTAAATAACAACCTGGTAGCTTCTGATGACATTTAGCAGCTCTAAAGAAGCTGTGGATGAAGGAGTAGGAGAAAGAAAACAAAAAGATCATCATCACAAGGATAACAAGTTCGCTAGCACAATCATTTCTCGCTGTCAGAACAATCTCCAGATGAATGTCTATTTCTAGTATTTTTGTTATGGAAAGGACTCAAAATAATTTACTTTCAGTTTTAAAACTCAGTGAAAATGAAAACTCAGTGAGTTGAACGTACCCTTTTCTCCAATGTTTTGGTTCACTCACAAACTTCCTGGAGTTAAAAAAGGGGTTCTTTCTTTCAGAATTTTATACAAAGAAAGCTATCTTGAGTCAGCCTTTGTTGTAGAGCAACCCTTGGCCACAGTTAGAGAGACAGCCTGGTGTAACATAGACAGAAGTTTAAAGTCTTTTCAAAAACTTTTTGTTTGGTGGTCTGAAAAGGTCAAAAGCCTCCAAGAAAATGTTCTCAGATTCTTCAAGTTTCATTTTATTCCCCTAAGAGTCTCTCAGCATTGGATATTATGTGCAATTGAGAGGTTAAGCAGGATAAACAACACTTGGAACACTATCACCAGAAACTGGATTTATCAGATCTTTAAAGTATCATAAATCTGTGTCAAACAGAGATACCATCCCAAAGATATAAATGTAAGCCTATATTTCTTCATATAAGTTGTTAAATAACTCTCTAAGACTCTAATCATAATGAAAAGAAAATATATTAACAGTCTACCATTTTACCCACAGGCAAATCATAATGATATCCCCACTAATTAAACCAAGACTTCATTAAAGTGTTTCTCATTATCATTTGCAATATTTTATGATAATTATATGCCTTTTATATAACAAATTAAATTAATGTTTTTAATAACACCTTTAACCTTAGCTTAGGTAATTTTGAATGACAACGTAATGAGCACACTTTAATGCATATTTTA